TACCTACTGTTTACCACTGGTTGTATTAACCAAACTTTACTACAAAACCTAAATGTTTTCTACATGCTTAGTGACTTTGTGATCCCAAAATCCTTAAGATGTACTGTCTGATTATTAGCATAAATACTGCTGAAAAAATGCCACTCGGAGCCTCATAACGAGTTGCTGTTAATGAGCAGGAAATAGCGCCTTAGTATTAAAATCTATTCTTTCAGTTTATTATTAATTTTGTCTTGCAGGATTTTAATCTCTGTGTACCTTGTTACCAAAAAATTGCACATGAGCACAGTGGGAAAATTGGTTTTGAGATTAATGTTGACAGTGGAAAGGGAGGTATGATGTGGACAGAAGAAAGGGCAGTGATATGCAGCCTAGCACAAAGAACCAATTAGTCCCACTGGTCGATGTAATCACAGCCACTTATGTTGTGCAGCAAATAGAGATAAGTCTTCTAGGGGGAAAATGACACAAACTTGGAGGTCACATTTCACTCCACAACAGTGCAGCGCAACAACAGCAACAGAAAATGGATTGGCAGCCACACATGGCTAATTCTTGCAGCAAATGTGTGTATGTACTGTATAATGCAGCCTACCTTGCAGAGTGGTATGCTGCGATGACACAACTTTATACCACAGTTGTTGCAGCCGAAGAGTCAGCAACAGTGTGAATGATACAGATACTGTACACTTTATTGTCATTCAGGTTGTGATTGTGGTGCAATTTCTATGACAGCTACAGTTCAGTGATAAAGATTATAGAAACCAAAAATATTAAAAAAATAGCTATTCATTATATTTCCACATTGTATGTGCAATCATGTTTTCAAATGTTTAATTATTATAAAAATTTTCCAATTTTTATATGGCAAATAACCTATACTATAAATATTTAATAGGTTATCAATTATCTTTTTGTATTTTCAAAATTTTATAAAAATATACTGTATCATGCAATTGAACAACTTTAATTAGGTTGTTACCTAATTAAAAATGTGGACACATGACTGATGTGATTGTTCAGGTCAAATAATAATATCACTAAGCCATTTTGTTTCATTTTCTGTATAAAATTATTTAAAATGTTATTGAATTGTTAGATTTTTTGATCAGGGTGTTACGTGTGGGTTTGGGGGAAGTTTGAAGAGGGTGGTCGGGGCAAAATATTTTTGCCATTTGTCTTTCATTCCATTTCAAAATATAATTGATAAAAATGAAGTGTAAATTTAGGGACATTTACCAGGTTCTGCAATAAGTCAATTTACTTTGTATTCCTATCTGAGTAATCATCAAAAATTACAAAAAAAGAGAATGTAAGTTTCTGATATATGCTTAGTATGGACGACATTAAACTGCTCACGTCAGAAAACATTGGCTGCACACATCGAAAAAGGTTCGGCTGAAAATAGGCTCAAGAGATATCTCAAAAAATGAAAAAAGGGCTTCCTAAACTTTTGTAACAAACCAGTTCACAACAAAACATTTAGCAGTAATCTTTGAAGATTATCAACCATATCATTTTTCACCATATTGTTGGGATTCAATATTTCGACATTAATTATGTCATCATCAGGAATGATCATTCCTGATGATTTTCACCATATACCACTCAAAATCATAACCACCATGGGTGAATCTTCCCCTCTTTAAGCTAATTTTAAAATTTTATTTGCAGATCTGTATGAAAAATGTAAAATTGTCCAACTTAGCATCGGATTAAATTTTTAAAGATACTCTTTTGTGGTAGAATAACATTTTATCAGATGCATAATACCATTGAGGTGCAATACAATATAAACTTTATAATAATTAGGATGTAATAAATTTATATCGTTAGGTGAATAAAATTTGCGCAATTTTGTATCTGAGTTCTATATTTTTATACATATTTTGATAACAAAACAATTACAGTACTTTTATTAGATAATTTATATTGTTATTTGTAAATATTGAATTAGATTTCTCTTGCCTTTATTTTGGTATACAAGAGGTACACACATGTATTGTTTCCTACTTATTATTATATATGATATCAATAAAACTATCGTAATAGATGTGTGCTTTTTTTTTTCATTTCTAAATATGAGTTTTAAGAGATTTATACAATGATTAAGGAGAGAGTCAATGAAATGAGTTAACATATTTATTCAAATAAATGCCCTAGGCTGTTTATTGTTGAGAAGGGTTTTTGAGAGGGCGTTGATTTGAGAGAGCTGTTTATTTATCTTTTAAAATGGATGCATATATACCGTACACAAATAAGCGCCCCTTAATTTCATTGCAAATGTGGAACACATAGTTACCATAAAAAAATGTGTTAATACGTTTATATTTCATTAGATTTGTTTGGGGGAGGGGGCAGGGTATTTATTCAAGGAAGACATAATATTCCAAATGAGGCTCTGAAGAAGGTTCAGACTCAAAATGTGCTGATTACAGCGCTGCAATGTCATTGAATTCACCCTAGGGAGTTGAGATTCTATTCCATACATTCTGTATGTTGTGCTTGATCCAATGAAGGATAAAAAAAGAAAATTATTATTATTATTATAATATGTCCGTATTTGGATAATTGGAATACTAAATGGTATAATGAAAAATCTAAAATAATAATAACTCTGTCGTGCTTTAAAAAACCTCCCATAAAATTTTAATACTTAAATTGCACTTTTTAAAAAATTGTGTATTTGAAAGATATTATTAATATTACACAGATAGTTCAGTTTCCAAACAATACAGACAACAAACATTACCAGCCAATTTAAGTTTGTATATTTAGAAAAACGTGTTTGTTGGAATCATAAACGCGTATGTTAATATAGAAATGTTCAAAATATTTTCTAAAATAGTGATTAACATTACTGTACATATTACCATGGACCTATTAATAAGTCCATTAGTAGGTCCATGATATTATTATTATAATCAACTACTGTGTTAATTGTTAACACAGTAAATTGTTAACACAGTAAGGTCTTAATCTTGTGACTTTTTAATCCATGTTGCCTTATTAGGTTTGTCTACTTTTTTATATTGTTGTTCACTTGGACTCGAAACGTCGATCTTCTTTTTTTGTCAATAAATTTTGTTTTAAAATTATATAGTAAAACAAGAAAGATGTAGAGGTACCCCTGGCCAACTCACCCCCACCCCCTGAATCCGCCAATGGCTTTAAACTCTGGGCCGTCGGATTTGTTATCGGCAATATTTGGTTGTCCATTAATTTACAGTAATAGACCTTTCCGGAGTGTCAATCAAACTTAACAACTGACTAATCAGAACAACGCTAGGAATACGCACGCGTCTTACAAACACACGTGTTGTCCCACAAACGCACGTGTTCGCGTATGTTTTAACACTGCCGTCTTGTGGGGCCTTAGCAACAAAATCCAAGGGGCGGAGCTTAGCGGAAAGGTCCATTGGAACTAATCCAAAGCAGCACATTTCCCCACAAATAGAATTTAGAAACCATACCATATATTGTTTTGGGATCATTTCACCTCACTAAGCTGGAAACAATACCACTTTCTTGGCTTTCTTGCCACACCCTAGACGGAATACTGGCTTTTGTATTAGCCCATGGTTAGCCATAGTCTCAATAGTCTTCCACCAATCAGCACAAGTTTCACTGTCCAAAATTTCCCTGTGTGAGATTCTCTGCAAATTCTCAAGAGGACGATTAAAGGAAGCAATCAATCAGAACGTCGAGACAGTTTTAACAGACAATTCTTTTCAGAACTATCTACAGTGGTGTTTGCCACTAGGAGGTAGTCCTAGCAAGATAAAGGTCAGTCGATCGTAGCAAGTAAATTATACAAGGCAAGAGGAGATAATTATTGTAAGGATTTTATAAAATCATGAGGTAGGAGGTTACCATCCCGGGGGATTCACTTGAATACCTATTCTACTGAAAATTATTAGGGACTTTAACTACCATTTACCAAAATCCAGTATCGGTTGAACTACTATTACTGCCATGTAACCGGGTGTCTATAAAACGAAGACAAAGACCAAAGACCCAAAAACGAATACCCCTATTTTTTCTCTTTCATTTTGATGATAATACGCCAGGCTCTCACAAAATCCAAATTTCGAAGTTTTTTGGGCGTCTGTTTTTGAAATTTTCAAGGGTTTTCGTTTTATATACACCCTATATGGTGTCTACAAAATGAAGACCTCCAGTTATTTCTCAATTATCAGTATTTCAAAATCATCATAAAACAGGTGCCAACTAATTTCATTATTTTATCGGAATAAAATGAGGAATATCAAGAAATACTTAAGGGTCTTCGTTTTATAGACACCCCATGTAACCTAACAAATTAAACTTGTTCTGGTTCCCGATGGCGAATTAGACTGTAGTTATGTCCGTTCGCGATCTCTACTGTAGGTTTGGCACGGAGTTTTTAGAACTTTTAGAGCTAAAACCGTGTGAAAAATTATACTGCTTTGATGATACGGGACGGGGCAGGGACTTTAACTAGCAATTTTACCTGGTATTTCCCACATTTGTGCTACCAAGTCCTCGTAAATATACCCTATACATGCTGAAACTCTTCCATAACTTCCCACACTACGTGCTACCAAGTCCTCAAAAATACCCCCGTAAATGCGGCACAACCGTATAGAAACCCTTACAAAAATGTCCTATAGGATCCTATAAGAGAAAATCTTATAGGAATCATAGATTTTTCGTCACATCTATAGGATCCTATAGGATTATATAAATAGATATCCTTTAGGAATCCTATAGGAATCATATAGGAGTCATATAGGAGTCGTATAAGTATTCTATAGGAATTTTAATATGTTTCCTTTAAGATTCTTAAAGAAATCGTATAGGAAAACTGCAAGATTTTTAAATGAAACAAATAGGAATCTTATAGTTATCCTGCCTAAAGGAATCGTATAAATTTTCTAAAGGAACCTTATAGGAATCTTATATGAATTATATAGGTATCTTATAGGAATCCTATGGGTTTCTTATATGAAATCTATAGGAATCTTATAGATATCTTATTGGAATCTTATAGGAGCCTTATACGAATGATATAGAAAAGTTATAGATATCTTATAGAAATTTTATAGGAGTCTTATATGAATTATATAGGAATCCTGTAGATATTTTATAGGAATCTTATAGATATTTTATAGGAATTTTACAGATTTCCTTCTGGGATCATATAGGCGTCTTATAAGAATCCTATAGAACTCCTTTAGTAATCCTAAAGTTATCTTAAAGAAGTCCTATAGATTTCCTAAAGGAATCTTATAGAAGTCTTATATGAATAATACAGGGTCCCTATAGATATCCTATAAGAATCCTATATGGTTTCTATAGGATTCGTATGGGTGTCTTATAAGAATTATATAGGAATCCTATAAGTATTATTTTTATCCTATTGATTTCCTAAAGGAATCGTGTAGATGTCTTGCAGAAATCCTCTGTGAATGCTTTAGTTGTCTCATAAGATTCTTATAAGAAAGCTGTATATAATGATTTATAACAGATTCATATAAATTTCTTATTTTGTAAATATATACTGTTTGTTAATGTTAATGCAAGCAATGATTGCTTAGTAAGTTGTTATTGACGGGTTAGCTGGTTGTTGACATCTGTTGGTTCCGCAATATTGTTTGCATGCATTGCAATTGAGAGTGAGCCCCCGGGGTTACCATGCAAAGTCAAGCATGAAAAAAATGTTTGTGCCTTCAACCATGTAAATTGTGTCGATAAAATAGATCATAAATAGAACAGATTAAAAAAGTCTTTCTTTATTCTGGATACTTAATTCTTGATGAGGACTAAAGCGCGGTTTCCCTATTGGCGACTGCCGCGACCGTCACCGACAGTTGTCGGGAAGGTTAAACCTATCTCAACTTTGCCGTGACAGTTGTCGGGAAGGTTAAACCTATCTCAACTTTGCCGATTGCGTTGCAGACGAATCGGGGTGCCTTCCCGCCGATTGCGTCAGGGAAGCTAGAAATGTGCAACTGATGAAGCTGAATCAGGTCCAACCTTCCCGACGACAGTCGGCGTCTGTCGCCGATAGGGCAATTCTATGAAAACCGAGCTATAATTAATGTCGAAATATTGAATCCCAACTCGATGACGTGCATTTCAATACTTGGAGTATAATAAATACTGTCTTATCTGAGATTGATCGATTTTACACTTCCTCCAGCACTAATGTACACTAAATACAGAACAGTATATTTCTTTTAATGTTTTCCCAAAAATGCCTTCGGAACGTTCATGATTCCTCCAACTGCTGCGGCCGGTTGCGTGGTTGCGCACTTTCTCCAACCCTGTGCAAGAAAGAACAGCAAACTCTTAGTGGTAAGATTTGTCGAAGTCAACGGCGGCACAAGGAATTTGCCAACGAAGGAGTCCGAACCAAGAGCCTCGGTCGGCGGCCAGTAATAAAAAAAAATCATTTGTAGGGTTCATGCGACCAGGTTTACGGGGAGAGTTTGGCTTAGTATAGTCCAAAATGTGTTTCCCATAATAGGCCTATTAGGGATTGGCAATCAAAATAACATTATTTAGATAGGCAAATTATTATTTATTTTTCAATTTCTGGTCCGACAACTTAGTAGTTTGTCGGACCGGGACGACAGGGGTACAGGCCTGGGGGGTTCCCTTCCCCCGCTGGTTAGAATCTGAGCCTTGACGTCCCCAGAAATACTGTTCTGTTTTAATTGGCATTTCCAGAAGGAAGACATGATGCTTTCTCAAAAATTATATTATTTAACCTTTGTGTTAAGTTTGTATAGAATTAAAATCAATCTATTAAAATTATTTTTTTCTTGCAGGATTGCAATCTTTGTGTGTATCATTCATAAAAAACAGTTTCACTTATAGTATTAAATTTAATCCATTCAAATTATTTGTTGTTCTCTCTTGCAGGATTACAATTTTTGTGTGCATCATTCGTAAATAGTGGACACAACTGTTGTCATATTGATCTGCACCAGTGTTACAAGCGGTATGGAACGTTCAAGTGAAGCTCGCAAAGCATCCAATAGACGCCTCCTCCAAAGTTTGGTTCACGCTTCCTATTGTGATAATGACGATTGCTACAGGGCAACTTGCCAGAAAATGAAGAATCTCATACAACATGCAAAAACCTGCGAAAGAAAAACAGCTGGAAACTGTCGTACATGCAAACAGCTTATTGCGGTGTGTGTTTTACATGTGAAACAACATTGCTCAGAACAGATGTGCCGGGTGCCATACTGTGCACATATTAAGCGATTAATAGAAAGGCAGCAGAGACCTGTAGCTGCTATGAAAAATGCAGGCGGATAGGGCAATATTACAGCAGTATTCCCAAAAGACAACGCCGGTCAGGCAAGAATGTTTTTATACCTTGTCTTGTGAACCTGCTGCCTGTCGATAATTATGATTTTGAATAAAAATACTAGGCCTATTTTAATTTTTGGCCAGTTAGTAAACTTGTCTCCACAAAAAATGAATACTTCAGAATAAATTTATTCATTTTCTAATTTGGACCCCCACCATATCTATATTTCTTCCTCAATCGATTTGTATGAACATATATCAATCCCCTGTACTACACTGTTTACGTTCATCAATAAAACTTTATTTTTATTTATTTTTTCTCAGCCTAAATGCTTTGGACTAATCCATTTTGCTATGTAAGAAAACGTAATTTTATTTTGTTCCTACCCTCCTATGAGTCAGCTATTCCTGGATATCTCGCTGCTTCCCTAAGGGTCTCTTCGTGTCTGAGCTACCCGGTAGACCGGTACCAGCTATCTCTATTCTGCCCACAACAGGGCTGTATGAACCAGTACAACTGGGTAAAGCTGCATTCACACACCGAGCCGAAAATGCGTAGAACGTTTTCGATGCGCGTCTAATGCGCCTCTATTCTTTACCACTGCTTCAATTTTCTTTTTGTTGGACATGCAAACCGGATACGTTGTTCTATTGTACCTTAACCTCCTACTCATCTCGAAAGATGTGCTAGATCATGTACTAGGGATTATATTTATGTTGCAGTTAGGTAAATATTTTAATACATTATTTTATTTACAATTGTGCGTAGGTTTAATGTGATGCATTTTCTTTTATTATTAATGTTTCGTGAGTTATTTTCATAATCTTATTCAAATGTTGGTGTTTTAATTAAGGCAAAAATAAATTTGTTTCATTTGATGTCTTGTATTTTTTTTTTTTTTATCTATTTGCATTTGTAAATTCAGATAATATTTAACATTTCTGTGTTGCCTTCTGTGTGTTTTATTATTTATTTTAATCATTATGCAATATAAAAGATAGGATACACATTGTTTAATTCAATAACTTGTATACCCAAGTTAATACCATAATTTATATGTTACTGCAAAAATGAGCTTGGTAAAAGTTAAACTGGGTCCAGTCCCTAAACTTAGTCTTAATCGGCGAAAAGGGTTTATAATAAACCGATTTTGGCACCAATGACGTTCCATATTACAAATTTGGCTTGAATTCCATAGTACTGTATTCTTTTTCTGGGATTAGCTAAAAAGTTTGCAAAGTTTCTCGATAGAGGTTGGTGGCGCTCTTCGAACGTCTGACAAGTCTCTAACACTAGGAAAAACAATTTGACTTTTGGCAAGTCTAGGTAAAAGTGCCCTTTATTATGTCCTATTAATTGGTAATAGAAAGACATTTATTTTAATGAAATTTTAAGTTTATGAAAAAAAAAAATTAAAACCACTGCATTCATGCATAAATTTCATTCATTGTTTGATATTTCTTTTTTATCAAATTTTAAGGTTTTTGTCTTAAATGTTTTAAAAATTAAAACCACTGCGATCATGCATAATTTTCATTCACCGTTCGATTATTAGGAACATCCAATTTCATAGACTCCTTTGCAACATCCGAACAGATAAGACGAAAATTGAATTAAATGGAAAATTCATAATTTCTTTAGATTATTATTTTTTTGTTCATTCCTCATATTATATAAATATGTCGTATGCGAATGTCATCAATGCAGCTTTCATATTTTTGACACAAAATAAAAAATAGCCAGTATCATGACTTCCTGTACATTTGTGCCAGGCCAATTTAAACAACGGAGTTTATAGTGAGGATACAGCTATCCAGGAAATATAACAACTTTGATGAAAGAAATAAGAGATGTATTCGATTTTAGTATGCTTTAATAGAAAAAATTACAAGACATTTTACAATCGTACATTTCAATTTGTGCAATAGTGACGCCTCCAATTAAAGGCCACCTCCTATTCTGTGCTCCCAAATTAACATTATGTCTTATCTTTATTATTCTAATAATCAAACCAAAGCAGCTAAAGACCATGGAAACCCTAGTCCCAAAAGTGGTCTTAAATTGGAGGGAGACCTGTATTTTAATAATATTGAATTATATAAAGATTTGGTCCTCATATTTCATTGTTTCTATGATAATTAATTGGAATCTTCATTGATAGAATTTATAAGTAATATCAAAGTATCCATGAATTAATGTGTTGAGGAAAACTAACTCAGTGCATAGAGAGGTATAGTACCTCTATGTCCAGTGGAGGGAATTATCTTGTGTTGCATACAATAACATTCAGTTTTAATCTTTTCATAGTTTAGATGGCTGTATTGTATCTGAACTTGCATGTATACCATTTAACCAGTTGATTAACATCTCATTTACCTCTTTAGGTCTGAAAGTCAAGAAAATTACATACGGTAACATTTATTATCATATAGATTGAGAAATACAAATTTTTAAGATTCAATATTTAAGAACTTTAATTAGTGTATATATAATATACATAATTTTTTGTGCTTGATAGATAAAGTGAGATGAAAACAATAAACAACAAATATACAATACTGTATATAAAATAGTAAAATGAAAATGAGTCAAAATGTGATTTTTTTTTCAACTTATTAACATGAGCCTTGGGCTCCTGCTCGACGTTTTATTTATTCATTTATTTTTTATAAAAATTTAATAAGCTGGTAAAGCAACAGATGTAGGCTAGCAGATTGAGTGGAGGATGGGCCTAAGTACTAGTAAATGCAAAATGTAAATACCGTATATACTCGCGTATAAAACGAGGCTTAAAATAGCAAATCACGATCGGAAAACAGGAAGTCGTTTGATTTTGAAATTGACATGTTCGTTAATGAAGCTACAACTAAATCACTATGAATGAACGCAATTTTAAATGCGATGAAGTAAGATTTTGATAGACATGAAAAGTCCATAAAATGGTATTATTTGGAAGATTGGCTCTACATTTGACTCCTTTTTTAGGAAGCTGGATGCATTATCAAGACTAGGCCTAATCATTTGTTCAAGCCCATGCGTATGATATTCAACAATCAAATGAATAATTAACAGCCCCGCACACAACACGGTGTATGAGCCGAACATTGAAATCAAACATTGAAATTCCAAAACTATTGATACATTTACTAGGCCTATTGTTCAGTGAATTGTTTATTGAATGAACTTCACGGCTCCATGACAGTGGCGGAATGATAAACGGTGACCGATCGATTTATCGATTTATTTCAGTTTCTTGTTTTTTTGTTTTTTATCTTAATTTTGATACCCAACCAAGTTTCGGGGAAAGAATATTGATTATTAATGTAGGCATTATCCCGTGAAATAAGGTGATTGCAGGAAGGGATCCAAATATGTCCGGAAAGTGGGACCGATTGAGACAACACTGCCCTAGGGGGTCCGAGGGCATGCCCCGTTTTTTCTTTTACGACACCTGTTACTAGCACAGTATATAATACCTTGCCTGCCTAACCCCTGTCTCAGTTGCTGATGCGTCGTTGATACGACGAAATTTTCAACACTATTCTTGTGGATTAGTAGGCCTATTACTCTTTAGGTCATACGTATTCTCTTTTATAATGAGAGTGAACTCCCCTTCTAAATCCGTCGCTGGATTGAGGTGATTTTTAATAGCGTTTGGGGGTGGGGGTGACTGGGGAAGAGTTTTTTTGAGGAGGGCGTGCAACTAAAGTTTTGAGTCGCTTCTTAGAGATGCCAATGTACGGAGTTTGACTGACAGGTGTGCATATCACATTGTGGGACTGCAACACAAAGATTTGTACACAATCCCGAAACACTGCCAGCTGTCGGGACAGTCTAGCTCACACAGTTCTTTTATTGGGTGTTAGGTCCACAAAGAATAGAGCCACATTTTTGAAAATGGGTCTAAACTGTGCTGTTTTGCACAAAAATGGCTTCAGATTTCTCATATTTTGCATACAATTGGTCAACTTTTAAGAAAATGGATCCATAATAGTTATATTTTTGCGTAATGGGTTAAGTTTTAAGAAAATGGGTCCACATTATTTTAATTTACGTCTAAAGTGGGTCCACCCTGATATAGTCTTTCACTGTTTGCAAATCCTGGCTACGGCATGTGCATATCACTGTACTACTATGAGAAAATATAAGTGAAATTTCGAAACGAAACCAGTTTCGGAATTTCAATTCTAGTAGGCTTATTACACACAGTATTTCGCAATAAACCAACCCTAAGGCACTGAGAAGAAATTACGAAACCGGTTTCGGAATTTCACGTACTTTGATTATTTCGGAATCCCCAACCCAGGATGTGTTTGTTTATAAATAACCTAAAAACGCAAACGCTACGTTAAATAAAATATTTAAAACTTTCAATATACAATTAACATGAGCAGAATTGAATTATAAATAAATGGACCAAAATCAAGAGAATTAAAAATCTGATAGAAGTGTCATTTTGGTTAATAATAAAAACTTCGAGACATCCACTCACTGAACGGTTTACTGCACACCTTAATACATGTACAGTAAATGAGTCAAAATCGACATATAAATTGAATTGTTTCATTTGGCAATCTCGTGCAATCGGATTATAAAACTAGATGTTTAAAGCCATATAGGGCCTAATCATCTATATAGGCCTAGGCCTATTCTTACAATTAATTCAAATTGAGTGATCATTTTCCTTTTTGAAGTTGACAACATCTTTTGATGACGTGATTAAAGTGTTTTTTGTATACTTCCTGCATAAATTGCCATATTAAATGTGTTTATTCAGAACCGTTTTTACCCTGTCTATGAATGATGGACACGCGATAGCCAAGCAATAGCAGATACGAATTTCAAGTTTTCTGCTGTTAGTGCGTTCATGCATAAGCTGTAGGTCAAATTTACCTGAATGAGCTTTTGTCGATATGGGAAAAGTTTCATGGGGTGGAGATCTTTACACTTCTTCACATGGGATTTTTTTTTTGTTCAGAATTTTTTCATGAACAGAAAAAAATAAGTTTAGAGTCAAACAAGCACCAATATCTTTATCGAGGACTCAATAAAATTATCGTTTGTTAATAATAAATAAAAAAGAATAGGGTTTTCTTAAACAGGTGGTAGACTGTAAAAGTAAAAGTTTGGTAATGGTTTCGGAATTTCACACTTACAGTAACCGGTTTCGGAATTTCTAGCTATAGTACTAAAAATAGCTCTCTGGGAAGTGCAGTAACGCCGAATTATGCAAATACCAACGCGTTGATTGGTCGACTTGGCTTAACCCTAACAACATAGTCCATATCCGACTAGTCGTTTCTTCGTTAAACCACCATTTGCTTCTTATCTCTGCTGCCACTTGGTTGTATACGTGCCTATAAGATCCCTGCTAGATCGAACGGTTTATGGTTTGGATTGTGGTGAAAAGATAACCCGAGAGGAAGTTTTACGGTTATTGTGTTAATAATACGTTCGGTCTAGGCCTCCCAACCCTAGCTATTAGTACTACCAGCACTAGGCCTAAAACAACTCCCTGGTACTACTTATTATACTACGGCCTAGGCCCTGACCTGATAGGCCTAGAGTAGTAAAAGCAATTGTAGTAGGCCTGTATGCCTAGGGCCTACCTGGCGGCTAATAATAATAATGAAGGTGCTCGAATAATGCTTTAATAAAGAATAATGCTTTAATAAAGAATTAATAATACTTCAATAGGCCTATTTGCGATAGTGTGATTAATGAGATATTTGTTGAAATAGGTATAGGCCTATACCATTAATAATGCTTCAGCATATTAAATCAACTTACGTCTATAGATGTAAAATCTGTTTTTTTTTTGTTTTTTTTTTCAATAAAATGTTACCTATTTTATTCTGTTAAAAAAATAATCTTAAAAAATACCGTACATTATAAAGTTTCATTGTAAATTATATGAGAATTTAATCCACATAATTTATGTTTTCAATTATTTAAGCATTTAAACAATTCAGTGGGCCTAACGCTGGATGTAAATGTAAAACAAAACAAAAACAAAAAACAAAAGCATCGCCAAAGTGTTTTCATGTATGCAAATGCTAATACTATCGCGCGATTGCAGCGTATTTTTGGTAAGCAGAGCTCAGGATGGTTCACACGAGGTGACGAATATCCGTCGAAATGCCGTATAAATAAACTGCAATTATGTAAATAACTTTCACAAGAACTTTACGAATATCTTAATTAATATAATCTTAATTAATATTTTAAATTAGTTAATTAATTAATAGATTGATATAAACATTGTGACCTTATAACTCAAATTTATTAAATATGTTTTAAATACTAAATACAAGAATCCTGCAACTAATTTTTCAGGTCAGAAATTGGCATCAAAAAGTAATAATAATTCAATAATGTTTGTAGGTTCCACGTATGTCTTGATAGTATAAAATGAGTATGAATGCACAAAGTCGTATACGTTGACATAATAGACATATAT